GGCCGTGCCATCTACCTGCTCCCTCTCTCGCCTCCGACCTTCTTGACTCTGTCTTGACATCGGGTCCAGGTGGGAGCTTGGGACGAGAGAGTGCGGTAGATGCTGCGCAAGTTTACTGTCACTATAAAGGAACTCGCGTGCAAGTCATCGCACCTGCTCTCTGCACGCTGTGGAGCACACGGTGGACATCGTCGGAAACGACGGTCGAATCGTATGTGTGTGGGTGCCAGTGACGACTGGCAAGGCCAGCGTGTGTATGCGTGCTGGCGGTATTTAACCCTGCCTGAGGGAGTCAGTGGGACAGTGGTATCAGCTGCATTTGTCGGGTTGTGAGAGCAGGCTCAAATGTCTTTGTGTCCAAGTGATGTGTGCGTATTGCATTAGCCCAGGGATGACGTGTTCAAGTTGGTAACGAGCGGCTATGGTTCCCTGAATTTGTGTGTGTGAGCATATTATAGTCGGTCAGACTCTCATGGTGTGTTTACGTCTGTTATGCCATGATTCGGCTAACCATGGCCCTCACGGCCTGGTGTACGCTGGTAGTTCTCAGACACCTGGTTTCCTGCCGGTAGATGAGCTGGCGCTCCGGTTGTTTATAAATGATATGAACACGGTTACCCTGGCACCCTCCTCTTTCTGATCCGATTGTTTTGCTGTTTGTGCGAATCCTGGTCAAGTGTTTGCTGTGGACCAGGGGGTGTAATGGTACGCCTAGGTGGTGATTCGGTTTTGTCAGCCACCTGTGCTCTCCCGCACGTCCGATCTTCTGGACTGTGTCTTGACACCGGGCCCAGATAGGGGGAGAGAGAATGCGGTAGATGATGCGCATGTCTACTGTCACTTTAAACTACTTCACGCGCAAGTCACCGTGCCTGCTTCATCTTGGGGTGGAACACACGATGGAAATCGTCGGTTACGACGGTCGAACTGTCGAGTCAAGTTGCCCGTCCATCCTACCGCAACGTATGGTTGGCTGTGCTGAAACGGCCTACCTGCTCGTACCACACGCTTACCGGGTCTCGGTGAGCAGGGGGGGGAAGGAGTTCACAGATTCTGAATAAGCGAAACTTATTAGTTGAATGAGACTGTCAGTCATCTTATGGGTTCTGGATTGATTGCTTAGGAAATCTTGCTTGAGCAGTTAGCTTGCTGTATTAAAATCGGTGGATTTCATGCGTCGCAGTGGACAGGATGGGTAACTTAACCCAGATGTGATCCATTTCACGGCCCACGGTCGGGGTCTCGTAGTTCAGGTGATTGGAGTGTTGGCCGCATACAAGCCTTGCACTTGCTCTTCTGGGTTCGAACCTCACATAGGCCGCTGAGTCCTACAATTGTGTTGACCGGACTAATAGGTGTCATGAAAGCCGCATCACAAGTGTTTGCTCTGGACCAGGGGGTGTAATGGTACGCCTAGGTGAGGGTGTGGCCGTGCCAGCCACCTGTGCCCTCTCCCGTCTTCGGTCTTCTAGACTCTGTCTTGACACCGGGCCTAGGTCGGCAAGAGATGATGTGCGGGCATACTGCCACTTTAAACTAATGCACGCGCAAGTCATCGTGCCTGCTTCATCTTGGTGTGGAACAAACGATGGACATCGTCGCTTGAGACGATCGAACTGTTGAGCCAAGTTGCGCGTCCATCCTACTGCAACGTATGGAATCCACCAACTCTGATAAAGTAAGCTGACTGCCCAAACAGGATTGCCTAACCAATCAGTCTTTAGTCCACACGATAACTACTAGGCTCACTTAATTCATTGGTGTTTTCAGTAGACTGGCTGTCGTGTGTTCGAATTCCACCGAGGCTGCCGAGTTTTTCACAAGTGAGTCAAATGCATTATTCAGTTTACTTAAAACAGCAATTAAATATCCTTTTAATTATGAACCGCGGCATCGCCGCCTGTTAAAACAATATCAACTCTGGATTGCACAGTGACCGTGACCTCTCGGCTCTGGTCACGATTTAAGCACCCAAGAAGCAACGTAATTTGCTTGACTGCCTTTAGTTAATCGCCGTTTCTTCTCAAACTCCACCCACTTTCCACAACCTGAGAGACATGAAAGAGGTGCGTCCACTAATGTGGCCCGATTGCAAGATGTAGTGTAGTCTTTTGTCTCGCTTTTCACTTCCTGTCTGACGCAGTCACAGTCTATCACGCAGCGCCGACTAATCACCGTCGACGAAGACGAGGTAGACTGAAATGGAAATGTCAGGTTTATTTTCATTCTCGAGTAGACCGCCGAACGCCCATCCAGAGCCAGAGAGAATTAAAATTTGCGTGTTGCCAGTCGTGTAGAAATCGCGACCATGTAGCTCGAACAACAGAGCGCTAAGAGAATCTAGGTGAAATTACCTATCTTAAGGAATGTACTTGCAGAACGGATATCTGACGCCAACGTACTAGCCAGAAGTTGTCTATCCAGTCTCTTCTGTCTTTGATTGTAACGCTTTCCACAGTGCAATGGCCACTATTAATATTGCCACTTCGGCCTACGCGTGTGTCAGAATTCTGTACAGGGCGGACATTGATCCCCACCTGAGGAACCCTCTCGGTGGTTCCTCGCAGATCGTGGATAGACAGTTGTTACGGCGACCGGAGACGAAATTGATGCATAGCCTAGGAAGCGAAAGGAAGGCGTGATCACACATGACACAGCGGACAAAACCGGTGGTCAAATGCGCGCGTGGAACCAGCTAACCAATCAGCGTGTGCCGCATCATCTAACACACGTGAATGCCCAAGCGTGCGGCCCAATCAGCGATCGATCGAACATTCAGGATTTTTTTCCGCAATAGGATTCTCACTCAAGAAGTGACCCATTCCACAGCCTGCACGCCAGTGGCCATAATGTTTCGGAACCTTTTGGAGACCAAAAATAAGACAGGTTTTAGGGAGTTGAAATCGTGCTAATCAGCCTGGCGGAATAAAAAGCTTCTTACCAGAACCCGCCTTTCTTCTCTACAATCCACCCGTCGGGACAGAGCATCGCTTGAGGACGCAACGGTAGCGACCGACACAGAAATATGGTCGACTCGGAAGGGTTTAAAAGCCAGACAGAAACCGCAAGACTTTGATACAGTCTGACAACTAGGCAGCAAAGCCCTGATATGCGGGCTTCGTATTTCTCCTGTCTACTTTAAGGTAATCACTGCAGTCTGAGGAGAATGAATTGCTCACCGGATCGGGGGACTTTTCTGGCTGACGTTTCGAAGAGCTGGGGCTGCTCTCCATTGTCAAAGCTTCAAGTGAAAAAATCGATCAGCACTTTTTGAATAGACCGCCGCATTAGTTGGCCTTGGGCCGATCGATTTTTTCTTCTTTCGCTGCCTTGGCCTACTGGCCGTCGCCTGTTGGTGGCCTCCTGTATTACGTGTCGTCACCTCAATTGGGGTTGGTTGCGTTTCCCTTCCCCTTTTGGGTGAAGTGGTCGGCAGGCCGTGTTTGCACTGCAGTCTGCTATGGCGAACGAAATTCACCGAGCCTCCAAAACTGCTCAGTAAATTACACCAGAAAGTTATGCCTATTAAATTTACCCTTACATTTTAGTCATTCCAGATCGAGTGCCCGGTAAAATCTGTTTGGATAATTAGTCCACCGGATGGAAATTAT